CATTGAAAATAATCACATTTAAAGAGTACGTTTATACACAAACTTATTCTACATTAGCACAGTAGCAAACAGATTCACATTTTTTAAAGGTGGAAAGCCCTAAATATTTCAGTAGACCAAATTTGAAATTTAAAAAATTCGGAGGCCTCTTCTGCTTATTTGAAGAGAAAAAAAAAAAAAAAGAAAAGTACACATGAATTGCAGATCAGTTAAAAGTATCCCATTAGTCTTTCTACAATACATAGTCACCATTTTATGATTCACAAACAGAAAGCAAACTTGCTGGAAGACATCATCTGGTCTTTAAGACATATAATCATCAATATGTAGTCTTAATTAGTTATTCGTTTTGTAATACTGTATTACCCATTGTACTGGGGAAAAAAATAATATGTAAAACACCAACTAAATATATATATGGACTCAATTCATTTCTTATTAAAGTTGTCTTTAAATGAATTCAAAATACAGTCTAACTACCTGTACCCTCTAACTACCACTAGAGGGCAACATTGCACTATGAATCAGTTGACAGAGTGGGTACAATGGTGATATTTGGAGAAAATAATTTAAATATCAGTGTTTGATTTGTACCGTGCATGCTTGTTTTTATAATGGGCTGTTTATGTTCCAAAAACATTCAGCAAAAAATAGTAATTGGAAATTTTTTTTTCCAGAGTTACAATGTAAAAGAAATGTAGTCATTATTACAATAAGCACAAAACAAAAAACAAACAAAAAACACAGTGCTCAATCAAATGACTATTTAGAAAGAAGCACAATACATCCCATTTTTTTCAGGTTAATGCATTGTTTATTTCATCATATGTTGTCTTTCGGCTCAAGAAATATGCCTTTTGGAATACAGGTTAAATTATTCGGCTTAACTTGGGATTCAAAAACATCCAAAACAGAAAAAAATATATCTTGAGAGTCTTAAAGAACAAAGAAAAATAACGTTCATATTTAAAATATTTATTTTGTAGATTAATTTCTAAACAGATTATTTTTACACTATGTAAGGGGAGGGGGGTACTGTAGCAGAGCTCCCTGTACCCGAGCTGGGTACCTTTGCCAAGGATCACTTCCTAGCTGGAACAGGGGAAAACCTCAGAGCTTCTGCCCCAGTCTCCGTGGCTTGACTGGGGTCCTCCATGGACTGGAAGACACACAGTCCTGGGAGCTCTAGTCCTTACAAGGACTTTACCCACCGAATCCTCCACAAGCTGGAACAAGGCCCTGAGCAGTGATTATATCCCTTTTCCTCCCAGTTACTAGACGACACATAGTTCTGGGAGTATAACTGATTTAAAGGAACACTATAGTCACCTAAATTACTTTAGCTAAATAAAGCAGTTTTAGTGTATAGATTATTCCCCTGCAATTTCACTGCTCAATTCACTGTCATTTAGGAGTTAAATCACTGTTTCTGTTTATGCAGCCCTAGCCACACCTCCCCTGGCTATGATTGACAGAGCCTGCATGAAAAAAACAGGTTTCACTTTCAAACAGATGTAATTTACCTTAAATAATTGTATCTCAATCTCTAAATTGAACTTTAATCACATACAGGAGGCTCTTGCCGGGTCTAGCAAGCGATTAACATAGCAGGGGATAAGAAAATCTTAATTAAACAGAACTTGCAATAAAGAAAGCCTAAATAGGGCTCTCTTCACAGGAAGTGTTTATGGAAGGCTGTGCAAGTCACATGCAGGGAGGTGTGACTAGGGTTCATAAACAAAGGGATTTAACTCCTAAATGGCAGAGAATTGAGCAGTGAGGCTGCAGGGGCATGTTCTATACACCAAAGCTACTTCGTTAAGCTAAAGTTGTTCAGGTGACTATAGTTTCCCTTTAATGTATCCAAACACAGCATTTTTATACACAGACCCCAGCAGGGGGCTCTCCGTTGTCTTCACCACATGCCCCTCCCAGGAATCTCTGGGCCTGGGAGATAATTGCGTTAAAGACCGGTAAGCCAATTATCTCCCAGGAACAGAGAGGCAAACAACATAAAAATACACAAAAACATAATAAAAACACAGAATAACCCCACAAATAATACATCATTAAATAGCCCTGATCTGAGCACCCAAGTTCTCCAAATAGCGCTCAGATTCATGCAGTGTAGAGGAAACGCCACAGTGTTAAATTCTGATGGCTGCACACGTGGTCCTATGCCCAAATAGTTCCAGGACGTTTGGTGCTTTTGCCGGTCAACTTTTTGGAGCTCCTGTGGCCACAATATGGGGGTGCTCCGCCTGGCTCTTAGGTAGCATTTGTTCCCCTTAGTCTCAGACACCTTCGTTCCAAAAAGCTCTTTCCTGGCGGATTTCAAAGTGGTTCATAACTGCGAACCAAGTTGTCCAGGAACCACACAGTCACCTCATGCCGAAAACAGTTCCATAACATTCGTGGCTAAGTCCCGTTGAGGTGACAAGGAACCCACGAAGTCCTCATGATGAAATTAGTTCCATAGCAGTCGCGGCTAAGTACTGCTGGGACTATTCATGGGTTTGGTTCATGTTCATACAATTACCGCTTTCTGACTCATAGATTTTGCCTTTTAGCAGAAAGCAGCAAGATTGTTAGTGTATGACTCACCTAAGAGGTTTTGCCTTAACTTGGCAGGTGAGCTTACACTTTAATGACCATTAGAGTGATAATAAAAACCTCCTTGGGTAACTTATTTTCGTGAGGGGGAGGGGATTGTTCTAAAATATGCTTCAGTATTTGCTTCACAATTAAATTGCTAAGAAAATGACATTTTGGAAGCCCTACATAGGCCTTCTAATACCTAACTTCTAACCCTTTCTGTGTTATTGCAGAAAAAGCATCAAACATCTCACAGACAAAATTCCTCAAATGCTTACCTAATGGAGCAACGGACTGTACGACAAGTTAATCACAATTCAGAGAAAGCCATTACGGGAGCTATAAGGCTAAAAAACAAAAACGTATTAAAAAAAACTGCTGCCTTCGAGAGAGAATCGTAAGAAATTTAAAGTGACTTTCAAATACAGGACCAAAATAACATAATTGGAAGAGTTACCCAAACTAGCTGTGCTAGAAATTCTGCCTTCAGTTAATAGCCCTGTACAGTTTCATTTATTGGCCTTACAGTTGGAGGTCTTATATGGTTTGACCTTTATTTTATTTGTTTGCAGTCTTGTATGGTGACATTTTACATGGTACTACCACCTTACCAGCTATCTTACTCATCAATTTGTCCACCAATCAATCTTTCAATAAATATCATAAGAGCGCCACAACTTCTGCTTCCAAGCACTCAAAACATGCCTTTATTAGGTCTGCCATACCTCCAATGGGAAACCAATTTTTAGTTTGTTGTGTTTTGTTTGTTTGTTTACATAATAATGATATGATATTGTATCGCAATACACAATTATAAAAGTGTGTAAACATGAAAGGTCAAGAGAATAAAAAACAATTTCAAAAAATGAAATAAATTGTGATCGAACTAAAATATAGTACACACCAAAACAAAAAGTATTCACCACAAACACCAGCAAACAAAAACAAAAACACACACATTGTAATTGTAAACCATGCAACACAAAAAGGTAATTATTAAAATGCAATACATAAAGTGAACATTCCCTTAGAAATAGGAATACAATTAATGCCAGTAATCCTGCAAGTGGCTATAGAGACACAATAAGACATGGACATAGTTAATCGAATAGAATTGAATTGGTTCGATATCGAGATCACAATTCTTCTGTAAAAGTCCGTCTCTCCCACGTGCGGTCTATGACATGGCCCAGATAGCTGCGTACATTGAACAAAAGCTTTAAGTCCATCAAGTTCATCTGTTCACACATCCCTGTATCTGCTGCTGATACAAAAGAAGCAAAAAAAAGGAAAATTGAAGCAATTTCTTACTGTGCTGGAGAAAGGGAATAGATTATTTCTGCAAACCAAGAGCTTCAATCGGATTTCTCCTTGCTCCAACATGTCCACATTATGGTCTTCAACCTACGTCACCATCCCTGCAATCTGGGTACAACTTGCTGACTGTTTTCCTGACCCTTGGAAAATTGATAGAGGATTCCTTGCTGGCAGCCTTCACACCCTACAACCCAGGAGATCTTTGATGCCAATTTTCATGGGAGTTGTAGAATCATGGGAGTTGTAGTTTATTGACACCAGAAAGGGCTGGAGTTTGAGAAACCTGCAATAAACACTTACTTATTAAATGTTTCCGTTTAAGGAACACTATAGCGTTCGGAATAGAAACATGTCCTAGTCCATACTTTGACTAGATTCAGTACCCCATTCTCCCCCAGTTGAAGGACCACTATAGTGCCAGGAAAACATACTCGTTTTCCTGGCACTATAGTGCCCTGAGGGTGCCCCCACCCTCAGGGTCCCCCTCCCGCCCGGCTCTGGAAGGGGGAAAGGGGTAAAAACTTACCTTTTTCCAGCGCTGGGCGGGAGAGCTCTCCTCCTCCACTCTCAGCCTCCGATCCGCTTCCAGCGGCTGAATGCTTGCCTTGACATAAGAGCTGTAGCATTCAGCCATGCTGGGAAAGCATTTACAATGCTTTTCCTATGAACGCTTCGCGTCTTCTCACTGTGAAAATCACAGTGAGAAGCCTTATAGCCTCTAATGTATCAATGGGGCAACCACACTAAGAAGATGAGAAGGCTTAACCCATTCATAATTATAGCAGTTTCTCTGAAACTGCTATAATTATGAAAAAATGGGTTAACCCTAGAAGGACCTGGCACCCAGACCACTTCATTAAGCTGAAGTGGTCTGGGTGCCTAGAGTGGTCCTTTAACTTGTAAAAATTAATATAGAACTAAAATAAAAATAGATTTGACTTACCTTTTTTCAAGCACAAAGGCTCACACTGAGCTGCCATCCGCTGCTCCCTCAGTGATTGTCCAAACTTTTATATTAAAATAATGAAAATATGGGGGGCGGAGCCTGCGCTCGAGCTGCATGGACGCGTAGAGACGGAGCTCCCCAGCTATCGGCTAATACAGCATGGGTACACAGCTAATACCCAGCACGAAACCACCCAAAAAGCCAGGGTTTCCCTCATGGCACAGAGAGGATCTCGGAAAACGGCGGATGCCAAGGAGAAACACTCCTTTTTCGCCGCAAAACCGAGGGGCCAGAAAACGCCGGCCCAGTCGCAACAAGATGGCGATGGAAGCGAAGACGACAGGGACCTTTCGAGACCACACTCCCCACAAGATACTCTCCAAATTCAGGGAGAGCACTTCCAAAAAATGCTTGACGAAGTGGCTACAAAAATACAAGCCACGGTACACTCAGCTATAGCCGAGCTCAGACAAGACATCATGGACCTCGGCAACCGCACATCCCACATTGAAAATGAAATGGCCGACTACGCAGCAGCACATAACAGCATGGTGCAACGGCTATAAGACATGGAGGTGCGGTTGGAAAAACAAGAAATCAAATGAATGGACCTGGAAGACAGATCCTGGCGCCAAAACTTAAGGGTCAGAGGGATACCTGAAGAGGTTCCAACAGCCGAACTCGTGGCCTTTCTAACAGGCCTATTTCAAGCCCTGGCACCAGACATCCCTCCCAATATGCTACTGCTGGACAGGGCACACAGGGTGGCGAAACCACAACACCTTCCCGCAGCCACCGCATGAGATGTACTCACCAAGGTACACTATTTCCACGTGAAAGAGGCCATCCTTCGCTCCAAGCGCCCACAACAAGACCTACAGGAACAATTCCGGCCCATACAAGTTTACGTGGATCTCTCTGCAGAAACGCTGAGGCGGAGGCGAGTATTCAAAGATATCACCTCAGAATTAAGAAACAGGAGCATCCCGTATAGATGGGGATTCCCAATAAAACTGCTTATTTCAAAGGATGGCAGGACGCATAGAGCTATGGACGTTGCCGCAGGTACCCGCTTGCTGCGAAGCTGGGGCATTGAGACACCCACAACAGGTGCTACACCTAACCGTCCAGTGGAGATCCAGCCGGGATGGAAGTCAGCCAAGAACGCTAAAGCAGGGCGAGCTCACACGGCCAAGTAACAGAACTGCCAGTCGGCCAGACAAACGTTGCGAACTCTCAAGTAACCACAAAGACAATGCAAGTACTAGAGACCCTATGGACTCAAGGGTAAAAATGTTCCATGGATATCACCTGACTGTGGGTAATATATATGCTTCTGTAATGGTTATGTGCTGTGGGTAGGCCTAAACTCGAGTGGGGGGGCACATACAGTAAAGAGTAGAAAAAAACAAAACAAAAAAAAAACATTATTGAAAACTATACATAAAAAGAATCGGGGGGTGATAAAGGGAGGTAAGCTGGGAAACCAGTTGTCCAAGAAATAGGTGGGAGGGCACGGCCTCCTTGGGGGGTTGAGTAGTCCCCATCCAGACACATCTCCCACCCAGAGTATGCTACTGCCATATGCTCTCCCCCCCCCCCCAGGGTACGAACTCATACCCATAGAACATAGGAGTTGCCCCTTCCAGGCAGCGATGCGGCCCGAGGGTAGGTTGAAGACCCATAAGAGAGGGACCATTAAAACTAAATAAATAACAAAAAAACAAAAACAAACAAAAAAATATATATAAATATATATATATATATATATATATAAAAAATAAAAATTTAAATAAATAAATAACTAAAATAAATTAAAAGGAAAAAAATAAATTATATATATATCTATAATAGTAAAGAGTCTAACGCAGAGGTTTCATCGACTTAAACATGCTTCTTCATACCAGGAATCAAACATAAAAGCCGGAGGCACGGGGTCCTCGGCCAACTGGGTGTCCGGGACTCGGACCAGGATCCTTACTCCCCCAGGAAGGACATAGCTAGTGGGATAAACTAGCAGGGAAAAATTTGTTCACCACTTCCCTTTGCTCATAATGCGGGGGACAATGTTATTTTTATGTTTTTGTATATATGTTCTGTGTTTGTTTACTTTGGCAATGTCTAAGATCACACATGTTAGTATGTTTATTCGCCTGAACAAGGGCCCCGGCACATTAAAATACTCAGACGGGAACTCTGAGCCCCGGAATGGAGGCGCTGATAGGGCGGAGGGCGCCGAGACCTCTGGGGCCCCTCCCGGGCCACTCACAACCTACAACACAGGGGACACCAGCGATAGCCACCCTCAACATTCAGTCTAAAACTATACTCCCATAATGTTCAGGGCCTAAATATACCCTTTAAACGCCATACCCTAGAGAGGGAACTCAGAAAGACGCAGGCAGATGTTGTAATCCTACAAGAAACCCACTTCAGAACCGGTACCCACCCACCAATAGGAAGTCGGGCGTACCCTCACCAACTACACGCCACGACACCACAGAAATCTCAAGGGGTATCCATTCTCCTCAGTAAGGACCTGATAGTGAAGTCAAACACACACATCATAGACCCAGTAAGACGATACATAATCTGGCAATGCACTATAAATGACCTGGACTACACATTAGTAAACATATACTCTCCAAATGCCAACCAGAGGAACTTCCTCCATAGAGTTCTAACCAAAGCAGATAGACTAAGAAAAGGCACCCTAGTAGTCAGTGGAGACCTGAATCACGTTCTGGATCCCTCCGTGGACTCCACGAGGCCCCCCTCTTCCCGTCACTATAGCTCCCTCAAAAAACAAAGCAAGGCCATCAGAACGGTGCTGGCCAACTATGGACTTCGAGATGTGTGGAAAGCTCTCCACCTGTCCGAAAAAACCTACACGCACCACTCCAAGGTACACAATACGTACTCACGAATAGATGGCTGTCTTATGCACGATTCCTGCATTACCCAAGTGCTAGGGTGTGATATAACAACCTTGGATTGGTCAGACCATGCCCCAGTAATAACGACTCTTGCATGCACATACTTTAAACACAGGAGTCCCTGGCGCCTTAACGAGAGTCTGCTTAGACACACAGAGTTCTGCGCGAGGTTGGAAAAGGAGCTGCGACATTATTTCCGTACGAACTCCACCTCTGCGCAAGACCCGCACATGCTCTGGCTTGCCCACAAGGCAGTGATCAGGGGCACTCTAATAAGCAGAGCGTCATACATTAAGAAACAAAGAGACAAAGAAATTACGCACATCACACAGAGTCTTGAACAACTACACAAGGAAAACCAAATACACCCAATGAGTGTACATAAGCAACAAATAGCTGCCCTGCAAGAAAAGCTTAAAGAGGTTAGACTACACAAGTTTGGATTTATGCTCAATAGACCGAAAACACATGCTTACACACAGGGGAATAGGGCGAGCAAACTCCTAGCCCACAGACTGAAGGACAAACAACAACAATCACGTATAGCATACATACTGAGTAAGAAAGGTCACAAAATACACCTTCTCGCCGGAATCTGCGGAGAATTCGCAAGTTACTACAGCCAACTATACAACGACCCTGACACCCCAGATCCCTCGGCCACGTCCATTCAATCATACTTGTCAGAGATTCCCTTGCCAGCCTTAACAGGACCCCAAAAACACAGCCTGAGGGAAGGCCCCGGGTCCAGACGGTTACACAAATCTATACTACGCGAAATTTAAGCACCTCCTTTCCCCACACCTTACTTCTACCTTTAATCATGCTCTACAGACGGGTACCTTCCCCTCGGAATTTTTGGCGGCCAGTGTGATAACCCTCCCAAAAGAGGGTAAGGCGCCAACGCTTTGCCAAAATTTATTCCCAATTTCCCTTTTGAACGCGGACACTAAACTATACGCAAAGATTTTAGCCACACGTCTTCAATGCATCCTCCCGACAATTATCTCAGATGATCAAGTGGGGCTTGTCCAGGGTAGACAAGGTTCGGACAACACCCAAAAAGTAGTAGACATATTACAAGCAATACACATGGACAGGAAACAAGGCCTCCTAGTCTCCTTAGACGCGGAGAACAAACGTACTTAACGGCAGTTAAAGCACTGTATAGCACCCCCAACGCAGCAGTCTCATCCTCGGGTTTTCTCTCTGACCCGTTTGCCATCACAAACGGCACCAGGCAGGGCTGTCCCCTGTCGCCGCTTCTATATGTACTAGCTTTAGAACCGCTTGCAGAAGCTATTAGACGCAACCCCAACATACATGGTATAACAATAAAAGACAGAGAATACAAAATAAACCTATTTGCAGACGATTTGTTACTAACTCTATCCCAACCAAACATTTCCCTCCGCAACCTCCAAAAAGAACTACAAAACTACAGCGCACAGTCATATTATAAACTCAACCCTACAAAGACACAAGCGATGGGAATAGGCCTGGGTAAGGACATCTTGGAGACGCTGAAGGCGTCGTTCAACTTTGACTGGAGACAGGACCACCTGACATTTTTGGGGATTAAATTGACGAGTACTCCACTCCACTCTCAAATAGCAAACACTTTATGGAAATGGGAAGGATCATTTGTGTCATGGGAGGGCAGATGCGCGGCCATTAAAATGATGATTCTGCCAAAGATTTTGTACCTATTCTGCACTCTACAAATTAGTGTTCCCTCCAAGTTCCTTAAATCCCTACAGACGACCTTATCTAAATTTAGCTGACAACACAAGAGACCGAGGGTCCCATGGAGATTACTGTCCCGCACAGTGAGAGGTGGGAGACTGGGGTTCCCCGATGTTAGGGAGTACTACAGGGCCACCCAACTAGCCAACATAATTGGGTGCCACGCCCAGTCCCGGGTTCCTCAATGGATGACACTGGATTCTTCCAGATTAGGGGGGAATCACCAAAGAGGTGCGACCAAAGACTCCCAATATGCTGCCGACCACTAGACACATGATATCAGTATGGGATAAGAATAGACACATGGTGTGCTCAACCTCCAAGTGGCCACCAGCTACCCAGTTGAAAACCCTTCATGCGCTTAACCCATCCTTTAACTATAAAATCTGGGCCAAACACAAGATTACCCACCTACACCAGCTCACGCACCTGGGCACACTCAGGACGTTCGCAGATTTGAGAGATCGGCTCAAGATTCCGCAGCATGCCGACTTCTCATACCTGCAAATGTCACACACGTTCAGATGCTCGTACACACACAGTAGGGGGCGAACTGACAGGATTTGAATGCAAATGTACTAGCCCACAACAACAGAAAAGATCCCTCTCGTTTTGCTACAACGCAATCATCGACGAATCTCAAACTAAGGTCTGGGGCTACCAGAAAAAATGGCATAAAGATCTGGGGAGAGAATTGTCCCACAGGAATGGGACAGGGCACACACGGCGCATAAGGGGTCCTCGTTATGCGCCTTACACCTCGAGACATCGAGGAAAATACTGTACAGATGGTACTTAAATTAAGTTTTCTAAAATGTATCACTCCACTAGTAACATGTTGGAGATGCCAGGGAGTTCCCGGAGACACATTTCACATATGGTGGACTTGCCCACTTATCTTACTGGAAAATGGTAGGGGAGATGGTCAACCACAGCACAAAGTCTCAGATGCCCTTGACGGCGGAGGCCTACTTACTGCACATAGCTCCACTTAACCTTCCGAAGCACTCCCGAAAACAAATATTTCTAATAGTGATAGCAGCGCAAAAGTTAATTGCCAGACACTGGAGGTCTGACTCGACCCCAAAGGGGGAAGAGCTGACAGACCTGATTACCACAAATGTAGCGTACGAACGATTTGCAGCATTCCACATGAGCACAGGGAACTCAAATACACGCATGTATGAAATGTGGCAGAGATACAGACTTCAACCTCCCCCTGACCGGGGACAGCCCACCCCACATACCCCACACACTGCACAGCCAACAGAATTGTACCCGGCCACCGAGTCCACGTCCCCAGAGTGAAGCCCCCTGAGCAACAGGTGCTCACAACAGCAACAATCATAGTTATTGCCATCCGTTGTAAATAAGTTCATGTTACTATATGTCTGTTACACTGTGTTTAACTACATGGGAGACAATGTAATTTTAACCTGGAAAAGACACCTGGCCCTGGCTGATGAAACGACAACACAGCAACTAGCCACCTCAAACACCTCATTTAAAATCCCGATGGTTTTCTTACCTGCTCTCCTCCTTAACCCCTTTTTCTACTATCCTTCCACTTTTCCCCACTTATAAACTTTGCTCCATTTCTCCCTTCCGAGTAACATTGCACATATCACTTACATACCTGACAACAGAGCTCATTCATTTTTACGTAGG